ACGTGACCAAGGAGCCATACATCACCCGAGCGTGTTCTTATATTGGACTCTTTCATATAATAATTGTATATCGATCGAAATATGAGAGCTCGCCGGCATTTTCGTTCTGGTTTAGGCTAAGTTAAAAAATCTTGTGGAAAAATCGAAATTTTGAAAGTGTTAGGATAATTTCAATTCAAAGTTTCCGACGGTTCTATCCAATACCCTTAATAAAAAGTGTCTTATTCGAAGCGACTGATTTGAAGGGGGTTTCACTTCACCTTAATCGGCGTTGAGGAGCAAAACGTGCATTATCGAGCGCTCATTGTTCGACGTATCGATAACGCAATAACAGGGAGATTCCTGGAGTTTTGTTGTCGCAATTCCACGAGGGAAAAAAGAATTGTGGATCACGGCCGTGGTTATTTCAAAGACGATCGCGACACCGTTTAACCTGTACTTTTACGTTAGCGTCTCTCGAGACCGCATTTAATGACTGTTCGCCATTTCAATGTCGTCTATTTGCAACGTAATCGAAAACACTCCATTTGTTACTAATACTCACGCTCAGATTTCGCCTCTCCGGTTTCATTACACTTCTTCTTTTTTCTTTTCGTTCTGCATTCGAAGCTACAACCCTAGTAGCACAAAATATTTGTCTTATCTTACCTTATTTTCGATTTGCAAGGTATGTACCTTTATTTGCAATATTACTAGACCGAAAGTGCTAGTAATCTCGTTCTTTCACATAGCGAATACGTATTTCGGGGAATAAACCCACGTGAGATGAAAGTGCGAGAAGTGAGCGCTCTCGTGAAAACTACGTTCTTTCACATAGCGAATACGTAATTCGGGGAATAAACCCACGTGAGATGAAAGTGCGAGAAGTGAGCGCTCTCGTGATAAAATACGTAATAAACGCCGTAAAGTCTGTGGGGTTGAATGGGTAGCGAAAAATTCCCCTCGAAATTTCGTCTCCTCGCGAGACACGACCATAGAGTAGCGAGTATCTAGAGATGAGATCACGAGATGTGTCACATCAGTCCTCTCTTAATGATCGCTCGTAGGCAAATCATTGCGCTCTAAGCCCGTGACCGATAAGAGCAGGAACACGTTACATCATAATGACGGGTCACTCCGCGAAGGGCCATTAAAAATGAAACGCGGACTCGGAAACGGCCGCCGCCATCTTGCCGTTTCCTGTCGTCTCTCGAATTTTCCCTCCGCCCTCCTTTTCAGATACCTCGCTGATACATTGTTGTGCAATGAGGAAATACTTAAAGTCGTCCTAAATATTTTCACACATTGGGCAAAAAACCGGAGTAGAGTTGGGTAAGTATAATACGTGAAGTAATATACGTGGATTTCTACACGTATATTGCAACGTATAATACGTCCCTAGTTTTCTACGCAGGCACGAAGTATATTACCCCAAACTAAACGTGCAAAGCGCATGCGCAATATCGTCAATAGCCAATGAGAGTGTGATTTTGATTTTAAACATTTTTAAAACGCTTATAATGTATTCGGCAAATAATATTTAAGAAAATACTTGTATTAAAATGGAACGAAATGTTTTGTATATCTGGTAGAAAAATATTACGAAAACACGTGGAGGTAATATTATATAAATATTAAAATAACATTCTTAAGCAAATATTTGGCAAATATCTCAAATGTCTGTTGAATATTTAGAAATCGTACGATTTTCGTTAAATATATGGAAAATGTAAGACAAATATATTGTGCTATTAGGGCTGCTAGAGAATATAGAAAAGTCGTCAACGAATCAAAACGGACGANAAAATCTGTCGCTTGAGATATTTAGCAAAGATTACAAAGAAATATTTAGAAATTATTATATGCTACTAGGGAAGTTTCACCTTAATTTGAAGGTCTTCGAACAATGACAGATTTTTCGAAATTGTCTCCACGTGGAGACTGATTAAAGGAGGGGATGTCACGTGTGCAATTGAGAAAAACAACATTCAAGATAAACGCTGAACTAATTGCACCTGCCAGTCGTGAATCACAACTTTCCGTGGGATTATACAGTCTGCAATTATGGAAGTTTCCTTGGGGATTTTCGGAAATCATTTCTAAATTCCATCCCTGATTGCCGCTGACGTTAATTCACGTCATTTTAAATTCTATTCCCGATTGCCGCTGACGTGAATTAACGTAATTTTAAATTCTAATCCCGATGGCGTTGACGTGAACTTTTAAACGTCATTTTTAAATTCCACCCCTGATTACCGCTGACGTGAATTCACGTCATTTTAAATTATATTCCCGATTGCCGCGGACGTGAATTCACGTCATTTAAAAATTCTATTCCTGATTTCCCGCGGACGTGAATTAACGTCATTTTAAAATCTAATCCTGATGGCGCTGACGTGAAATTTTAAACGTCATTTTTAAGTTCTACCCCTGATTGCCGCTGACGTGAATTCACATCCTGCTTAGTTGGCTCACTAATTGTTAGCCGACGCGGCGCCCAAATTTGATAATTCTTATCCTTGCTTTAACGATACAAGTTTGCGGCAACCAGTTTCAGAATTTCATTATTTTCGCCGGTAGTCGGTATTTGAAACGGATACAATTAGCCGCCCGCGAGTGTGTTAAGTTGTACGAGTTGAAATTACGATCGGAGATGATGTCGCGGGTAATTCCTGTACTTTCTGGGTTGTATTGTGAAAACCTAAAAAGTTGATCGCCGGTGTTACACAACTCCGGGACTTTCGCAGGAAACCATCGAGCTCACTGAAGCATAATGAACCGACAAAAGTCATTGGCCAACAGCGACGAGACTCCTCGCCCAACTCGGCAGAATCGCCTCTGAGCAGATTCCCATTTTATTTATTTATTCATTTATTCAGGGATCCTTCATTTCTTCCATGTGGACGCACAATCGCGCAATCACGTTGCCCGGTATTCCTTATCCTGACGATGTACGAGTTTAACGAGCAATTTATATAACATAGTTATACGGATACTCGAGACGAAATGTTGATCCGGCTTTGAACCTCTAATTGTAAGCCTTAAGATATGAAATTTCATCGAGGCCGATTAATTGAAATCCATCTGTACCCTTCTTGGTGGGAACGTCATTTTGAATACTCAAGTGGGAACCATAAGCTGGCGCGTTACCGACATTTATATTTATATTGAAATCTTTTACAGTCTATGTTGAGAATTATACGAACTGAAGCGTTGCACATGTCATTTTGGAAAAGTAATGATGAAGAGATGGACGTAAAACTGTCGAGATCCCGGGAATTCATTATTCTAACGACTGTTTAGGACCAACGTCGCCATCTGTGACGTTTAGCTGCAACTAAATTCATTTGTGTAACACTGTAATATTCCATTTCTACGGTATTCTAAATTCATGTGTGTAATACTGTAGTATTCCATTTCTACGGTATTCTAAATTGTTTATGTTGAAGTATTTTACAGTCCACGTTGATAATTATACTAACTGAAGCGTTCTATTGCGATTTCGCATACGGACCGTCGCTATTACGAAGTTTATATAAATTTTACGTCCATCGGATGTCAAAGTTGACATCTGTAGGATGTCAAAGTTGACTATCGGATGTCAAGGTAGACGTCTATCGGATGTCAAGGGTGACGTCTATCGGATGTCAAGGGTGACGTCTATCGGATGTCAAGGTTGACGTCTATAGAATGTCAAGGTTCATGTCTAACGGATGTCAAGATTAACGTCTATAGGATGTCATGATTGACGTCTATGGATGTCAAAGTTGACGTCTGTAAGATGTCAAGTTTACATCTGTAGGACGTCAAGGATGGCGTCTACAGGATGTCAAGGTTGACATCTATCGGATGTCAAGGTTGACTATCGGATGTCAGGGTTGACTATCGGATGCCAAGGTTGACGTCCATCGGATGTCAAGGTTGATGTCTGTAGGATGTCAAGGTTGATGTCTATAGGATGTCAAAGTTACGTCTGTAGGATGTCAAGGTTGACGTCTACAGGATGTGAAGGTTGACATTTATCGGATGTCAAGGTTGACTATCGGATATCAAGGTTGACTATCGCATGTCAAGGTTGACGTACATCGGATGTCGAGGTTGACGTCTAACGGATGTCAAGGTTGACGTCCATCGGATGTCAAGGTTGACGTCCATCGGATGTCAAGGTTGACGTCCATTGGATGTCAAGGTTAACTATCGGATATCAAGATTGCCGTCTATTCGACGTTTTCTCGACGTTCGCCCCGCGTACATTCGGACGTCTACTCTACGTTAATTTAACGTCGACAATTTCCAACATTACATTGACTTGCCCTCTGAATTCCAAAAATTGTCTTTTTTACAATGTATCCTCCATTAGGGATATTTGTCAAAGAACTGTCATAAAGTTCACAGAGCCGATAACATTAAAGTTCTAGAAGTTAAAATCCCTCCAAGTCTACGTGCAAACTATCTGCATCATAAAAAGATATAAAGAGCAACATTGAGACTAAACTTCAGGTGTGAGAAAACTGCAGGTCGGACTTAAAGCGGCGCGGAGCGATTGAATAACCGCTTATTATTTATTTAACGTCAGTCGCTTTGACGCAATGGTAACAGATTCTTATCCGGTTTTGATAACACGCCAAGACGTAACCTGGATCCCGGTCAAACACAATTTCAATTTAATACCTGCAATGCCGAGAGCGCACGTGCGTGCAAGATTCTCACACCTGCGTGGTCGGTATAATTCGATTATGCAATCTGTAATTTAACCTTGACAATGACCACCTCGAGTAATTATAGGTTACGTTGCTCCCTTCCTTCCCGGCCAGATTACGTTTTAACTCGCCTTGGTGAGACCGCAGGAAATATTATATATATTTTTTTTATCAACTCTCCGGCCGTAACTCGATCTACGTATGAATAGTCTTCTTTGCCACTTGTTGATCGATATGCAAATGGTCACTTTTGTCCGGAAAGTTTCGCCGAGATCTTCGAGCGTCACCTGGAAATCCATGGAATGATTTACCTGGGGGAAATAACATTGACGTTGACTCTCTCTGAGCCTTTTATTCAGAAGGTGTGTACTTTCGATGAACAATGAGTCAAGGCCAAGTTCGTTAGAATTGGAGTACATGCAACGCCACCGCTCCCTCGTGGCAGATTCGGGAAACTCCAAGCACCTTGGTGGCCTTCCTTGGGCTCTCTACGATTGCCTGGTTATTTACTATTGTTTAGTTGGATAAGTGTATCATCTGTTGTTCACTTTTTGACACTCGGATACTAGATCCAGAGAATTCCATCCAACAAACTGAATCCCAATTTCGTAAACCTTGATGAGCTAAATGATCGAACAGGTTTCACAGATTTTTATTGTTATTAGATATTAACTCCACCGAAGAAGTTTTGCAATTCTAAGGATCTTTAAAGTGATATGAAAATGTTATATCTAGATATCAAAATGTGAAAATGTTTATTAAACTTTTCTACTAATTGGGTGCACCGACTCATTTGAAACTTCCTCGGGAGATTATTGAGGCCCTAAGGAAGAAAGCGATGCTAGTGAAATTTGATTTTTCAAAGGAAACTTCTTTTTAGCCTAGACTAGAATCAAGATCATATTTTCTTTTATTGAAGAATGAAATTTCACGAGCATCGCGTTATTCCTTAGGGCTTCCATAAACATGTGTTAAAGTGTCAAATGATTCGATGCACCCAATTTGGAGAAAAGTTTTATAAATATTTCCACTTTTGTCGCAAGTATATATGACACTTTCATGTCACCTTCATATTCTAAACTTACCGATTTAAGACCTATATTTGTCTGCATCTGTATATATGGGTCTTTGATTCCAAATATACTTGGTTATAGCAGGTCTGTAGTAAAATGCTTTGTAATCTTCGCGTTCTTCGATTAACTTTACAATTTTCTTTTGAAGCAGTTTGATCTTCATTATCTCCGTTTGTTCATACATGTGAAACGCATAAAGCTCATAGTCCTGCTGAGGCGAATGATAAACGTAACGAGCCAGGAATCTAGTAATGGGACTCTGAAATAATACAATTGCCTTTAGCTTAAGTATTACTTATATCGATATAAAACATAAAACAATATTATTGCAAATTAAGGAAGTTCATACCTAATGTTTATAAACTCCCCGTTTTTCAAACGGTATGGGAGAGAAATGACATACATTTAAATACAATATAAATGTATCATGAATTATACTTTTAGGCAACTACCGACATCATTATTTATCACTTTACATAAAGAAATATTTGAGCGCAAAACATTGAAATTTTAAAAGTGTCAGGATAATTCTTAGGTGCTCACAAGTCATGCGTCAAAGTTTAGGATGATTCGACGCAATACCCTTAAAAAAGAGTGTCTTATTCGAATCGATTATTTGAGCGGGGTTTCACTTTACCGTAAGCTGTATTTAAACGTTTAATTTTTTCCCGTACTTGTCAGAGAAATGGGTATTTTCCCTGCGTCAATAGACATGAACTACCTAAATAAACCTATACTATTCGTTCCATAAGACAATCGATGAATCAGGCATCCGTTCTCTAAATAAGTACTTGTTACATCGTACATACCCTGTAGTATTCCCAGTGCTTTGGAGTGTATCCTTCCGGAATTGGCTCAAGCGTAGCCGGTCCAACGAATACATTCGCACAGAAAATAATTATTCCAATGGGTATAAGTCCTACCAAGGTGTACAGGTGGAGCAAATCTTTGGTCTTGTGCCACTGCCAACGGGTCGGAGTCAGTGGCATCGTGCGATGCTCCGACATACATCGTACTGGTACTGAAAATATATCTGACCGTTACCATCGAATCTCTTGAAACGTTAAAACCTGTAAACAATATTCTGCACTGCTTGCAGCAGTTAATACTCGAATTTTCACCAAAATAAAGATCGGGCTATGGGGAATTGTTAGTGGGTACTTGCTCTATGGTCGGATGTTTAGAACTTCTGATAACTACTGTGCGCTGTGTTGCATAACTAGGAAATAATGTTTCTCCCAGAAGCGATAATAATTAACAACTAGTTCCATTTAAAGAAATGTCGTGCATTAGTTTATCTTTGATATTCACCACATTGTAACGGCTGTTTCGGCAGAATTGACGAAAAACTGAAGAGTTTAAGCCCGGCTGGGCGAACCAACGAGCTCCAGCCCGCCATGTTCTTTTAGCACAGCGTGAACAACTTATCGACAGCAAAAGGATAGCTTATAAGTATGAATGTCATACCAGTTCTCTCCGCCAGGTGGCGCCACGATCTTTCGGATACGGTGCATTTGGTAACGTGAGTAGAGTTCTAAATCCAGTAAGTTACGTCAGAAACAAAGAGAAATTCCCGGTAACTTATCGGTAATTTCTCCAAAGCCTTTTTTATCGAGAAATTATGAGAATTTGAATTTTTCAACAGAGCGAACGAGAGGTTTCGATTAGCTATAGAGAAACATCGTAGAGGGGAATTTCCGTTGTACGTTCTC